TATATATATATATACAGTATATATGCAATCATACACACATTAAACAAGGCCAGAAAACACATCTTAAAAAGTTACAAAAACATTTTAAAATCCTAAATACGTCACAAATGTACTTTTTTTTAGATTGGCTTATTATTTTGAGAAATGTGTTTTTTCACATTATTTGTCAAGCTTTTATGTGGTCTTAGTGTTTTTTTTAGTGTTTTTTTATTGTTAGGTCTAATGTGTTATTTTTGGTAATGCTTAATTTTTTTTGCATAAAGTAGTTACCATAACACACTGCACACATTTTTGCAATGGGAATTGTTTAAAAAAAACGTACTCTAGTATGAAAGTGATGAAAAATGTTAGAGATGCATCTTTTGTTTATTACTATAAAGAGAGGAGACACTTTGATTTGCCGGCTTTGTTAGCATTTTGCATTGTGCCATTTGGTCCGAGGGTTGGTGTGTTGTTGCTGGTGTCTGGTCGAGGTGTTTGCTGATAGGCTGATGAGCTGCTTGCCAACTGTTTTAAGCATCTGGTTCTTTTTCCTTCCCTGGGGGCATCTGCAGGCAGCACAAATTATCTGTTTATTTATTCAACACAACAGTGACATTATTATGGCACTAGAGCAATATTATTCAGGCATGCCCTACCAGCCCCCATGCTGTGTATGGAAACTAATCTTGCTATTTATTCCTGCACTTACTTTTAAATCTGCTGTTACACGCAGAGCACTCAGTCTGCTGCCTTGGAACACATTTCCACATAGAAAAATTGAAACCTCCATTTTACTGGAAGCATTAACTGTTGCCAGCACAAAACACTTTCAGAAAACTCAAATATTTGTATTTCTAAAATTACAGTTATCTAAATCTGATTTCTTATTTATTTTTTGTCATTATTCTCTGGAAACAAAAACGATCCTTCAAACCTTTTAAACAAACAAAAGACTGGGGAGTGGAAGATTTTCAAAAATAGACACCCGAGGTATTTGGAAAAGCAAATAATTCTATTTGTATTTTTAAAGGGATAAAGTGCACTTCATCTGCAGCTGTAGCAATTTTTTGAATGCCTTAAAAATTTGTTTGTGTGCAACAAGACTGATGAGATTACAACTAGTTTGAACAAAACCACAATGGATTGTTGACATCTAAAAAAGCCCCAGTCAGATCCATGCTGTTATTTTATAAATCTTCATATTTTCATCAATTTTGCAAAATGCTCACCTTAATTTTTTTTTCTAATAAATGGTAAGAACAGGGGCAACATGTGGGACTTCAAGGGCGATTTCATGAATTTTCAGCAAAAAAATCACATTGGGGAAGAAGGTTTAAATCAGAGGTGTCCACTCCTGTTCCTTGAGAGCTGCATTCCTGCATTTTCTACTTGTTTCTCTGCTCCAACACACCTGAGACAGTAACACCAGCTTTAGGAACCACTGCTCTGAAACATGCAGGGTGGTGGCCGTCAAAGACCAGGACTGGACACCCCTGCTTTAAACAGTATTATTTTTATCTCATCAGTGCAATCTGAACAGACATGTTTCTATAATTTGCTGAATTAAAACATCTTTTAAAAATCTCAATGATGTAATCAAGGTCACCTTCACGAGTTTCACATTCAAGTTATTTCAACAGAAATATTATGAAACTACAACTGAGCTCCTTAGAGCGCCTTAGATATATTAGAGCTATATAGAATTCCATGTAAATAACCATGTATTATGAAATTGATGAAGTAAACATTTCTCAAGTAGTGTTCTTATAAACCACCATGAATCTGCTTTAACACAGCAGCTATCAACTTAGATTTAAATTGTGTTCAAGCAAGCCATTAGCTAGTTTGTGAAACTCATTTCACATAAAGAACAGAATCATGGAAGCAGTTTTGTTTTTTGACAGACTTTGAACCTCCTAGGAGAATACATTGGCTGTGATCCAGCACATCTCAGATTCATCAGATTCTCAAGGGTACACACTGAGAATATCAATTATGTATTTCCAGGTGTCCGGAGAGTCTCCGCCCAGACACTGTCAGGCCCTGTTTGCTTCCCTGTAAGAGAGATTGTATTGTGACCCCGTACAGTGACTGGAGCCCCTGCCCATCAACATGTGAAGAAGGTGAGCTGCAGTGTACATGGGGATGCTTTTAAAGTATTCTATATGTGTTGAAAGGGAACTTGTGTCAGTAACGGAGCAAACCAAAAGACTTACATGTTGTAAAGATTTCATAACCTTAAAAATTTGTCAGTTTTGCCCTGAAGACATACAGATAGAAGTATTTGATTTTGTATCTCTTGCCTTATACTCCTTGTCTGTTTGAAACATACACCACATTCACTGCTGTACTGCATTTCAAATAATCAATACTTTATACATTATCCTCTAACATGAATGTATAATTAAGTTTATGCTAAAAGTAGAACTGAAGTTATACATCTTTTATAGCACATTTAGTAGTGGTAGATTTTTCTTTCATTTCCAAATGAGTCAAGGCATCAAAGTTCTGCCTTTTACCAACACTGTAAAAAATGAAATGTTGGATTTACTTAACCATGTTATGTGACCTGGTTCCACTTAACTGAGTTGAGTAAATTCAAAGCAATATACCAGTTTTTTAACCAAAGAACATGAGCATGTTGCTTTGAATTTACTCAACTCAGTTAACTGGAACCAGGTCACATAACATGGTTAAGTAAATCCAACATTTCATTTTTAGAGTGAAGTAACCAAAGGTTGTTATTGATATGTTGAAACTAAACAAAATGTTTTTTGACAGCTTCATAAGAGGAATCTTAGGATTGCAATATGTTGTACTTTATTTTTATACATTGTCTATGTGTTTAATGAGGGATGATTAAGTGGAATAATTAACCAATTAAACACAGATGTGGGAGATTAATAGAAATAAGAAGTGAAAAGGAAGGGAAACCTAATGAGTTTGTAACGTCAACTGAAATAGTAAATGTGACAATAAGAGTAAATCTCACAAACTCTGGTGCAGTTTAAATGTTTAACCTTCTTAAAGTTGTAAAATGTAATTCTAGAATAAATCTAAGAAACATAATTTTTCATCACTCTCTCCAGGGGCCAAAACCAAGAAGAAGCAATACAGAAAACGAATCATCATCCAGTTCCCAGCCAATGGGGGACAAGACTGTCCTGAAGTCCTGACTCAAGAAAGAGAGTGTGAAGCTCAATCAGTCTGTCATGGATACAGGTAACAACATAATGAGCATACTTGCACTCATTGGTGACGTTTTATTTAGCATCAGTTGTGTGTATCACAATATAATTTTAAAGTCACCTAAGTGGTACACTTAAGTGGATGGTACGTGCCTCTCAAACACATTAGTTTCTTCTTTCACAGGGAAAAAGCTAAATAACTAAAGTCTCTGACTCATAACAGATGGTCTGATCTCTGCTATATAAAGTATTTTAAAGCTATTTTAAAATGAACTAAATATGAAAAACTATTGTAATATGAAAAAAATGTAATAATGAAACCAATTTTAACACCTTTATTTTGGGATTTGGTTTTTACAGTTTTAATGACTGCAAAACAGTTAGAAAGTTAAAAATACTGCACATGAACCCTAACTCTAATCTGAACCCTGCACTGTATGATTTATAATGTTGTCAGTTTTAAAAAGTAGTTCAATTGCTTAAGAGGAAAATGACATAACCTGGTCAAGATGCTGTCAAAAAAAGATGAGAAGTTGTAGTCGAACTCACTCAGATGTGTTCTTGATGAAGCTCAACAACACCAATTATAAAAAGATTATTTAAAACTAGAGAGTGTGTTGAGGAAAAACGGAAGCATGAGAAAAACAGGATACATTAGGTAAATGAGTCAAGTGAGCGGAACTGAACAACAAGGGAAACAACTTTCATCCATCCATCCATTTTCTTCCTCCTATCTGGGGTCGGGTCACGGAGGCAGCAGCTTCAGAAGGGAGGCCCAGACCTCCCTCTCCCCAGCCACTTCTTCCAGCTCCTCTGGGGGAACTCCAAGGCGTTCCCAGGCCAGCCGAGAGACATAGTCCCTCCAGCRTGTCCTGGGTCTTCCTCGGGGCCTCCTCCCGGTGGGACGTGCAAGGAACACCTCACCAGGGAGGCGTCCAGGAGGCATCCTTACCAGATGCCCGAGCCACCTCAACTGGCTCCTCTCGACGTGGAGGAGCAGCGGCTCTACTCTGAGTCCCTCCCRGATGACCGAGCTTCTCACCCTATCTCTAAGGGAGAGCCCAGCCACCCTGCGGAGGAAACCCCTTTCGGCCGCTTGTATCCGGGACCTCGTTCTTTCAGTCATGACCCAAAGCTCATGACCATAGATGAGGGTAGGAACGTAGATCGACCGGTAAATCGAGAGCTTCGCTTTCTGACTCAGCTCTCTCTTCACCACGACAGACCGGTACAGCGCCCGCTTTACAGCAGATGCTGCGCCAATCTGCCTGTCGATCTCCCGCTCCCCTCTTCCCCCATTCGTGAACAAGATCCCCAGATACTTAAACTCCTCCACTTGAGGCAGGACGGCCCCCCTGACCCGGAGAAGGCACTCTRCCCTTTTCCGGCTCAAGACCATGACCTCGGATTTGGAGGCACTGAGCTTCATCCCGGCCGCTTCGCACTCGGCCACAACAGCTCCAGCGAGAGCTACAGATCACTTTCCAATGAAGCCAACAGGACCACATCATCCGCAAAAACCAGAGATGCGATCCTAAGGCCACCAAAACGGATCCCCTCAACACCTCGGCTGTGCCTAGAAATTCTGTCCATGAAAGTAATGAACAGAATCGGTGACAAAGGGCAGCCTTGGCGGAGTCCAACACTCACCGGAAACGAGCTCAACTTACTGCCGGCAATGCGGACCAGACTCTGACACCGGTCGTACAAGGACCTGACAGCCCGTGTCAAGTGGCCCGGTACCCCATACTCCCGGAGAACCCCCCACAAGGCCCCCCTTGGGACATGGTCAAACGCCTTCTCCAAGTCCACAAAACATATGTACACTGGTTGGGCAAACTCCCATGCACCCTACAGGACCCTGCTGAGGGTGTAGAGCTGGTCCAGTGTTCCATGACCAGGACAAAAACCACACTGCTCTTCCTGAAGCCGAGGTTCGACTATCCGACGAACCCTCCTCTCCAGAACCCCTGAATAGACCTTACCAGTGAGGCTTAAGAGTGTGACCCCCCTGTAATTGGAGCACACCCTCTGGTCCCCCTTTTTTTAACAGGGGGACCACCACCCCAGTCTGTCAGTCCAGGGGGACTGTCCCCGATGTCCATGCGATATTGCAGAGTCGCGTGAGCCAACACAACTCTACAGCATCCAGAGCCTTAAGGAACTCCAGGCGGATCTCATCCACCCCCAGGGGCCCTGCCACCGAGGAGCTTTTTGACCACCTCAGCGACCTCGTCCCCAGAGATTGGAGAGCCCAACCCAAAGTCCCCAGGCTCAGCTTCCTCAACAGAAGGCATGTTGGTGGGATTGAGGAGGTCTTCGAAGTATTCCGCTCACCGGCCCACAACATCATGAGTTGAGGTCAGCAGCACACCATCCCCACTATAAACAGTGTTGGTACTGCACTGCTTCCCCCTCCTGAGAYGCCGGATGGTGGACCAGAATCGCCTCGAAGCCGTGCGGAAGGGAAACAACTTAAAAAGTAAAACAAATCTTAATGTCCTTAAAACAAAAAACGACAACAAAAACTTAAAATTAAAATATTACTAGAAAACATTAACACTGAGAAATGAGTTCAGTGAGGGTTAAACTTTTGGAGTGAGAAGCATTGACCACGCAGACGGATACATTGAGCATCCTCTCGACACAAGATGATCTATGCCGAGCACACAACAGTAAAACGACCAACAAATGGTGCCATGTTTTGTTTGTCTTATTATTTTTTTATTGGTTACAAATGTTTGAGACTTGTTTTCTAAACTCAAAAACCAATATAAGAATAAGGTGACCAAGATTCTGTAATTAAATCCAGGGACATCTCCAACTCTGAGTGAAACAATAATTAAATGTTATCAAGATGACATGAAGACACTGAAACGGTTCATGTTTATTGATTTTTACATGTTGTAGAGACTTTGGTTGTAGCTAGCAGTAGAGCATCAGGAACATCACACTTTATCTTCACACACCCTGTTTATAGAAAATACTTCCTCCTTACACCACAAAGAAGTACCTCTCCCTCATGGTGTTAATTTACAGCCAATAACAGATGTTTCCATCAATGTTTTTTTATGCATATTTTGAAGTATTACATTAGAAAAAGGTGGATAGAAATGACAAAATTTGCAACTTCATACATTTTGCAAAATAGTTATTCACTCGAGGTAGTTTTTGGATTAACGGAAAAAATAAGTAATTTGCAAAAGGGGAGATGAAAACACATTTGTCGAATAAGTTCAGCTGTTCCTGCTGTCCAACAGTTGTAGTGGCTGTGGCTGCAACTGGACCCTCCTCCCACCGTCGGCGTCTTCCCAGATATTCCCGCAACGTGAAGAGAATTGCATTTCTTTCTCTACGTCTCCAGACAGCAGTAACATCTCTAAAACTAGATGATACGACAGAATAATTACAACTTTCCTGATAGTAACATGTTCCTGATAACTTCTCTCTATTGTCCTGAGATGTGTATTCCCTGCGAATTTTCAAATTTACTTCCTGTTTACTACAGCCAGGTGTAACATCAGCGTCTGATGTTATTACACTGGTTGATTCCCTCCAAACCAGTTGATGGAAACACGTCTGATGTACATTTCTTATTTTGCGACATTTTAAAGGTTCACTCAAAATGCGCATTAAAACTGAATGGAAACACAGTAACAGCAGCGTGACCAGCTACCATAATAGCTGCACAACATGCTCACTTGCACTTTTTATCCAGCTAATGTAATGACAGTCTACACAAAACATTTTTCTCTCATTCGTAAAACACTAAAATTACTAAAATTGCTAAATTCTAAAATCCACATGGACAGCTTTTGTCGTTGACAGACTATTAAAAATGAGGACTGTCCATTCCTCTTTTGGCTAGCTATTAGCCTAGCCTACACAAATATTTCTGCACTTTTCTCTGTGCTCTGTCTTCTCTGATGGATGTCACAGGTGATAAGGTGCTAAATATTGATAACTATTTGACAGACTATCACTTCAAAAACTATCACTTTTATTTTTATCCTATAAAGCTTGACTTTAAGCTGCTAATGCTAAATCAAACTGGAAACCTAACAGTTTCTGCGTCAGATTGAGGTTTCAAGGAAAGGAGTGATTAAACTCTTTTCTCTCTCCTTGATGTCAGTGTTGTATAAAGTACCTCAAAGTGATACATGAGTAAAAGTACAAGTACTGTATCTTATCATAAAAATACTTTGGTAAAAGTTAAAGTCTCCTTTAGGAATATTACTCGACTAAAAGTCTTAAAGAATCTGATATTTTTTTTACTTAAGTATCAAAAGTAAATTTCTGACACAAAATCTACTCGAGTATTAAAAGTAAAAGTACTGAGTAAAAGTGAGCAGTTAGATTTTCCAAAATGACATTTATTGGGAGGTGACTTCTCCAAAAAATAATTTTTCTAACAGTGTGCAGCTGTGATGGGTTGTGTACAAATTAATAGTGTGTCAGAATGGTATATATTTATACTTCTCATCCAACCACAATTAAATTCACTCTATCCAGACACAATTTATCAGTATTTTTTTAAGTAATAACAAATTGGAATAAAATAGGAGTAATGACTTTCTACTTCCCTTTTTAAAAAAATGTAGTGAGTAGAAAGTGCAGATAATTGTGTAAAAATGTAATGAGTAAAAGTAAAAAGTACGCTGAAAAATAATAACTAAAGTAAAGTACAGATAACAAAATTTCTACTTAAAGGAGACATATCATGCTAAATGCACTTTTTTGTGTTTATAAACCATTTTTTGTGCAATTATAGTGTCTAGGAGTGTAGAAAAGTTTAATTTATTCTGTCCAGTTACTGCAAAGATATTTTTATATTACTTTTTGGGGTCAAAATTTTTCAGTTAGTTCAAAATCTTCTGTTGCTTATTTCATTTTATTGTTTGTTTCGTCATACTTTATTCTTTGGAACTGCCATTTATGGTAATGTATTCCCGGCCAGCTCGGTTTCATAGTCAGCCATTTTTTCCCCCTCGCAGTGATCTTGTAGTTCAAATACCGTCATGCTGAAGGTGCAAAAGCTGCGAAGAGTTGAGTGTTAAACTGAAGTGGATCCATCATGCTTTTAAATCATTCTTTTTCACAGCCAAGTTGGAGTCTATTTAGGGTATAACTATTCAAAGAAATAATAAAAATATACATTATGTACCCTGTCGCCGAGGCAACATATACGTTCACACTGCAGGCAAATGCGACCCATATCCGATTTTTTTATGACAGTCTGAACGCAACGAATCAGATTTTTTCAAATCCAACCCAGGCCGTTTCAGTACATGGTTTTAAATCAGATACATATCTGATGTTTTTAAAGTGACTGCAGTGTGAACGCTCATGTCACATTCATCTGACTTTTTCATCAGGGAGGAGAGGATAAGACACTGACCTGAAGTCACGCTGTTTAAATCTGCAGCTCCATGCGTTCACAGCTCCAAAACAGAAGTCCAGTTGCTTCATCTTTTTATTTTTTATTTTCCATCATGTAGAAAGTAACGTCCAGCCTGGGTCACGGAGCGTATCGATCCTAAAGTTACTCGTTCGATACTTTATTTCCAACTCGTTTCGTTCAAAAATAAAAAAAAGTTTCACTGGAGCATCCGGTCAGAGGCAGGTTCAGATAAAAACACTGAACTAAACAAACATGTCAGATATCGGCTCTGAGGTTAAACAACAACTTCAGATTCGACGTGCAAAAAGTAGCATCCATGCTAGCTCTGTAAACAAACAAGCCAGCTGATGAGACGGTGTGTCTTTACTGCGCATGTTTGTCACATCAGCGCTGTGGACCGTGTTGTTGCTATAAAACTACAAAAAAATGGCCGAACGGGGTGGAGTCGAACGCTCAGCGACCCGGAGGGGGCGGGGTGTGAAATATCTCATTTGCATTTAAAGAGACCGCACCAAAACAGCTTGCTCTGAGGCGCAACTCAGTACAGGGGTAAAAGCAAGTAAAGCAAGGAGTCTGTAGAGCAACAAAAATGAGGAATTAAGACCAAAGCGTTGCAGTTTTATTTTAAATAGACCATAAGTGAATGATTTAGACGTGAAAAAGAAGGATTTAAAAGCATGATCTGTTACCTTTAAGTACAGCAACAAAGTATTTGTACTTAGTTACTTTACAACTCTGCTTGATGTGTAGTATCATGAAGAGTGAAAATACTAAAGCTCAGAAAAAAAATAACTCAGCGCACAAAGTGGTCTTTGCTTAATATCAAACTCGCTCTAGTTCTAATTATTTGATTCTTGTCTGTTCTCCCTGGCAGATGGAAAACACACAAATGGAGAAGATGTCAGCTCGTCCCATGGTCTATCCGTCAGGACACTCCTGGAGCTCAAGAGACCTGTGGGCCAGGTCTGCAGTTTCGAGGTGAGAGACTGGATTCAACCCAGAATTTAATCTGAGACCTTAATTTTAAAGGACAGCTGCTTTAAAACTTGTTTTCCCAGTGGAGCTGACAGGACTGAAGTTTTAACATCCAGTGTTCGACTTATCAGTAAATAATTCTAAACCACGTGAGATTTTATTAAAAGGAAAAGAATAAAAGTCAAGCTCAGACAAAAAAAAGAGATTAGAATTAAAAAAGATATCATGTGACATGAGAAAAACTCATCAAATATTTGGTCTTTGCATCATTTCAAAAATCATTTCACTGTTCATCTGACATTCATACATGCTTGGTTCTGATTTCAACAAAGATGGGAAATCACTGTCTTTTTGTTTGGTGGAACGTTCTTGCAATGGTATATTCTAAATAGCAGTATGAAACATTGTAGTATTGATTGTGTACTGTGGACGTTTCATGTAACATACGCATCACTGTGGCCATTAATTTGATGAAATTGATTTTACTTTGTAATGCAGCTAAAAATAGTGAAACTCAAAACCACATGTGAAACAGTTTGGAACATTTAACAGTGAATATCAACAAATATATGTGATTAAAAGTTTTCAATCAAAGCTCAGTACAATAAAATCCTGTACTGTGAGGTTTTTTGATTACTGTTGTGGAGAAAGTTGACTTTTTGTCTGTGTAAACTCTAAGACGCCAACTAAACTCTCAGAGAAGAGACCATTATTGGATGTCGATGATGAACATCCTGCTACTCCTTTGAAGGCCATTATCATTAAGCACCATTACCTGTAACATTATACTTGGAACTAGAGTGAAAGTTCGATACTTGCTTCTTGCTGTTCAGCCTCTCTCTTAACAAAATAAAAGCCTAAGTTGTGTGTGGGTCCAAAAAATTGTGGGTTTGGAAGACAAAGGAATAAAATAACCACAGTTCAACTATAATAACAATCTATGCTTTCTATTTGTGGACAGTTGGAGGTTGTTTGAACATCGTTGCTTTGTGTTCAAGCGGCTTGTTTTTAGGAAACTTCTTATATTGATGTGTGTGTTGTGACAACGTCTCTGTTAAGATAATTCATGTTGAAATATATCATAAGTAGAAATTTAGATTTTAACCTTGTTAATGTGTACGTTTGATAAATTACTAATTGAGTCTATGTTTGTGGATTGCACCTCTGACTGTGCTACATTACTGCAGACACTGATGCATTCTTTATCACTTAACCGTGTTACTGAATCTCACATTCATCATTATTAATTTCTCACACTGTGCACAGCTGAAACTGACCACAAAGACAGCCATTTTATCTGTTTAGAGATGCCTCTGATAAAACTCACAATTCCTGTTTTTAATTTGTTTGTTCTAATTCCTGTCAAAATCCACGATCAACATCAGTTTAATATCTTGTGATTAAAGTAAAATACTTGCTGTTATATATCATGTAATCCAGAGATTCTTAACCTATGGGCCGCGAGCGCCACCTTGAGGGCCTCAAAAGAACAACAGTTTTTAACTGTGGGCCGCAGAGGGCCGTGGGACCGCATTGATTTTGAATAAGGTGCAATGCACTTTCTCATCACTAGTAGCAGTAGTGCGCCACTCAGATGTTTAACAACTTTTTTAATGTGTAGAAGAAGAACCTTAGAAACCTGCCGAGAATGGAAACTTATTTTAAATAAAAAGAAGGAAAAAATGAATGCAACTTGTCAAAAAAGGCCAAAGTTTGTCACTAATATGAAGTGCAGCCTCTGGTTCTACCATGCAATACTTTAAAAGTTCAAAACATTGTCAAAAACCGCTGCAGATACAACTACAGTATATTTTAATTTGCACTTTATCAAAATAATTTTTGTAGTTTATTTTTAAATATTTTTTATGTATTTTAAAGAAACTTTAAACTTGTCAAAAAGTTGTTACTGTTATTGTTTGTCACTAATATGAAGAGCAGCTTCTGGTTGCAAAAGTTTAAAAAGGCTATATTTTCATTTGTACTTTATCAAATTTATTTTACAGGTTTTTTGATTTGAAACATTTTTAATTTATTTGTGCCCACACTTTTATTTATTGAATTGTCTATTTTTGTTATTGTTTATGTTAAAAAATACATATTTTTGTGTTGATAAGCCTGAGTGGTCCATTGACTGGCCTTTGTATTTGTTCAAATAATTGTTACGGGCAGGTTACAATATAAAAATGTTTGTCGTAATCATGTCTTGCGATTATTTGACAGGAGATTTCCTTTTAAAGTGTAAGTGTATTTAATTGTTACAATGTAAAAACAATAAAAATTAAACCAAGATTTAGAATAATTATCATTTTGATCCATACATTAGTAATGTCTGACTGGGCCTCGTGCCAATTTATGTTCAATAAATTGGGCCCCGAGGTCAAAAAGGTTAAGAACCCCTGATGTAATCAACCTACCAGGTCATAAAATAAGATGAATACAAATGAACAAAAGTCACATGTCTATGTTTATTTTTGCAAACAAGCCGATATAATAGACTAGAAAATAAGTTCATTCTTCATCAAATGCTATCAATGTTTGTGTACAATATAACCCAAGGAGCAGGCATCAAAAAGTCCAGGACTTGGAGGTAAAAAGAAACATATTTATTTTACCAAAGTGAAAATGCTACCATGGTAGCTGAAAACGTACTGACTTAGACAACTCTGAAAGAACAACGTGTGGAATCAAAACCACACAGAGGACAAACCAGACTGACTATGGAAAGCAAAATGAACTGACAGGAACAGGAGATAATGAGAAACACCTGAGGAGAGTCCCGAGGAACAGGTGAGCGTGGGCGGGGCCAGAGCAGTGGCAGGGAACTAAAGTGTCGCAGGGAATAAATAAGCAACAAGAAACAAAACACAACAAAAACACAGAAACTCACAAGTGCTTAATTTTTGCTTTGTTGTTCTTCATCTTCACCATTCTTTCATCAAAATTAAAATGATAAGCAGATCCCAGGTGTTATTTCAGAACAAACAATTGATCTTCAGCAAATAAGGTGGTATGGAGTTTAGAGAAAAGTAGCCTGTGATTGAGAGGTTGCTGGTTTGAATTCCTTGAACATTACACTGAACTGTGGATGCGAAAGGTGAAGCACCTCCACCCTCATGTGCCCCATTATAGGCCCTTAAGCAAGGACATTGACACCGTCAGCTACTACCACCTTTATGAGAAGGGTTGAAAGGTCAATGGGCCTCATGCAAGAACATGTTCGTATTCTTATCCTAAATTTCTCTTACTTTTGTTCGTACAAAGGGTTCGTACGAACATGTCACGTCAGATTCAACAAACTCTTCTATCTTCAGGAAAAGTGTGTAAATGAGCTGCGTAAATGCCACCTGTTCTATCCAGCTGCTCGTGCACGCGAGAGGAGATTAGCATAATTACCACCCCAAAAACACCATATAAGGCTATGATTCCTGCCTCAGATATCAGGAAGTGTTCATTCATGAAAATGACAGCGAAAACTAAAAAGAAAAACTTTACGAGTTCAGAGATTGAAGTCCGTCTGTCAGAGATCCAGAAAAGAAAATCTGTCATTTTTAGCAGGTCAGCTGTGGAATAAAAAGAGCTGCTAAATGTATAAACAACTGTGTTAAATCATTTTCATTTATTCAGAAGGCGCAGCGCTGCGCACCGTACAGCCCCCACCCCCCGCGCGGTCGCAGGTGGTCTCAGTTGCGGTTCTGAAATAAGCATTTTAAAATGTTTTCAAAATACTATGTCTGACACTTTGGAGAAAATCCAGGACTCACTGGAGGGATTATGTATCCCCTCTGGTCTGGGAACGTCTCAGAGACCCCCAGGACAAGCTGGAAGGTGTCGCAGGGGAGAGCGGGGTCTCTTTGCTGCTGCCACCGAGACCCGATCCTGGATAAGCGGCGGAAAATGGACGAACGGACAATTTATATTGTTAGTCTAAATTATTACATTTAAAATTATAACTCTAATTCAAGCAGAATAGCCTATTGTCAACATAATTATGGAGTGTGATTTATTTTCAACTCAAAATATCTTCAAACTAATGAAATATAAAGTTATTAGGGAGGAAAATCTGTCTGGATAACAGCAGACTGACTGCTGGTAAAATATACGACAGGTCTGGACCACTCGTGAATTTTGTTCGTATCTGAAAAAAATCTTAGAATACGAAAACATTGGTGAACGTCACAAATTCTCCTAAATCACTCGTACGCACAACTTAAGAACAAATCTGTGTGTACGAACGGTTCTTGCATGAGGCTCAATGAGTCTAAGCACAGAAGCATTATTTACAAATAAATGCCTGAATATAAATAAATAAATAAAGCCTTGGTTTATTTTTTTACCTTTATTTAACCAGAAAAAATATCCAACTGCAAATTCTGTCTTTGCAGTTGTTCAACATTTTCTCTCCTGACCGTTTGATTTGATGTTGTATCTCAGGTCCACTTTGTTTATCAGACTGATGCTGACAAAAATGCATGAATGCAAACATTTGAGTCCACCATTTCTTGCAGTTTATGCAGTTGTTTTGCAGTATGCCTTTTGCACAGGCTGTTAGTGCGATGATGATAAATTTGCGATATTGTGCAGCCCTAATTTTGTTCTTCTCCCTAATCTTTCATGTGACAAATCTGAATATTTCCTTCCATTCTTGTAGCTGTTTCATGCCGAAAGCAGGATGGGGGGCAATCAGATGTCGAAGCCTGTCTTAAATTTTCGAGCCCCATGCCGCCGCTCACCCAGCTGTGCCAGGTACCGTGTCAGGAGGACTGTCAACTCACTAACTGGTCCAAGTTTTCCTCCTGCACAGCTGACTGTGTGGGAGTGAGGACTCGCAAAAGGATACTAGTAGGTTAGTAAAGGATTTCAAGACTATCACAGTGTTTAAGTGGAAGTTTATGAAGTTAACTAAAAGTGTTTAGTTGTTATATCTTGCCTGTTTTCTTCTTTCAGGAAAAAGTAAAAAGCTTGACCAGTGTAAAAACACCCAGTCGTATCCCCTGAGTGAGACCCAGTACTGCCCCTGTAATAAATACAATGCCCAGCCTGTAGGCAACTGGTCCGACTGTATCCTACCTGAGGGCAGCCGCATGGAGGGCCAGCTTGGCATGAAAGTACAAGGTGACATCAAGGAGTGTGGTCAAGGATATCGCTACCAGGCCATGGTGTGCTATGACCAGGACAACCGCATAGTGGAAACCTCTCGTTGTAACAGTCATGGTAGGTGTTTTTTTCCTCAAAGAACTCTCTAACCCTCCAAGACTGTGGAAACAGTCAGGTGAATAAAGTTTAAACAGAAAGCTTGGCAAAGTAGGATTTCTTTAATTGTTGCACTTATTCCTGACAAACTGACCAGAAACATACAGTCTTCAGCTTTATCACACTACGGTTCACTAGCTGCGTTTCTATTGACCATGAAAATGCACAAATTAGAATTTCGAAAATAAATTTGCTCAATGGAAACACGTCAATTTCGAAAAAAAATTACGTTTTTCGACAAAACGTTTTTGCGCTAGGATGAGGTGGTTTTTAGGCCGTATCTAAATTGGTGTTGTTCGCAAAACTGCAATGGAAACACTTTTTCACATCACGGGAGTCACGTGATCAACAACCAGCTGTTTCTACTGGTGAAAAAGACGACAACGAAGAAGATAACAGGAAGTAGAAGTAGTAGTAATATCACAGAAGTAGTATAAAATAGTAAACTCACCGACTACAATTTCCCAAAAACACAGCATACGTAGCCGCTCCCAAGTAGGGACTTGTTGCTCAAAAGCCTCGATAAAAGACGCCGACGTCTCCTCTGATGATGAGCGCTAGTGTCGTGTTAGCAACATGCTATGTGTTTACATCCATCGCCGCCATGTTTGTAACGACTTATCACGAGAACAAATGTATTCACACGTGACTTTAATAGTATTTCATACTTAATGGAAACACAGCAGTTGCGAAACTGTGTTTTTCGACATTAACAGAATATCGACAAAGTTTTGCGTACTTTTTCAATGGAAACACAGCTACTGATATGTCAGGAAAATGCAACCCAAATCTGATTTTTTTTTCATGACAGTCTAAACTTGACAAATCCAGTTATTTCAAATCCAACCGAGGCCTTTTCAGTATCTGGTACTTAATCAGACACAAACAGCTGCAGTCTGAACATTCCTGTTGCATTTCATTTGACTTTTACATCAAACCATAATGAGTTTTTCTATTATCATTGAGTCAGCTATTATATGATTATATGAAATTGGAAATGCGGAAAAAATCATTTTTTTCCCTCGTGTGATTTGACAACAAAGTGATCCAATGAATGACATGCTTTTCTGTGTCTGATTAAAGGGTACATTGAGGAAGCTTGCATCATTCCTTGCCCCTCTGACTGCAAACTGAGTGAGTGGTCCAACTGGTCGCGGTGCAGTAAGTCCTGTGGCAGTGGGGTCAAAGTTCGCTCTAAGTGGCTCAGAGAAAAGCCCTACAATGGTGGAAGGCCATGTCCTAAGCTGGACCATGTCAACCAGGTGAACTGTTCTTTATGTTGATGCAGAATGTAAAACTTGTTGCTGCATTAAATACAACAATAACCTCATTTATGTGTTCTGTTCATTTTTCTTCTTTTGTGCTGAATGAATTCCATCAACAGGCTCAGGTGAGTAATTTAATTTCTTAGATGATTCTGTAATGCACTATTAAAAAGTTAAATAACTGTTGCATTTAATTTATTGTTGGCCATTTTTTAAATTTGTCTTTTTGCCTAAACAATAATGTTTGGTTAGTATTTGTTTTATGAAGACCAAATGAGCAATTAGCTAATAATTTAGTAAATTACTAACAACTTGTTGCAAAAATCCCTGATTATCAGAATAAAATCCCAATTTGATAAATGACAGATTTCCTGCTAGAGTTTAAAGATGTAAGTGTGGTATTTCTGTGTCAGGTCTACGAGGTGGTGCCCTGCGTCAGTGACTGTGGACAGTACGTCTGGGTGGCAGAGCCCTGGAGTGTTTGGAAAGTTAGTAACGTGGATCTGAGAAACAACTGTGGGGAAGGTGTGCAGACCCGCAAAATCAGGTGAGATGAGTCCATCTGATTTTTATAAACTGACTGATTGTAGAAACTGAAATTTAATTAGTTTTTGTTTGCACCTCTAGCAATGCTCGGGTTGAGTTTTTGGTGGAAAAAACACAAGACATTTAAAAAAAAATGAATTATTGAAAGGATTCATGAAACACAGAGTATTTGAGAAACAATAATATAGCAGCCTGCTTTGGATTTGCCCAGAAAAAAAAATCATGGAAGTTGTTTTAGCTGTTTTTTTATTTCTGGATTTGTCTCATTTTGTCCTGATCTTGTAAACCATTAAATCGTGAGCTAAAATTATCATCAACTGAGACAATGTTAAAGAGAAAAAAAATATTTTTCTTACAATCAAACCAAGAATGCTCTTCCTCCTAATTCACATAAATTGTCAATGTGGATGTTTTCACCATGTGATTATTTCAGTGTTTTTGTTATAATCTATAGAAAGAAGTAACAGTAAACAGAGAAAATTACATCAATTAAATAAAATCCAGAGTAGTCCAAGTCCAACGTTCTAGTTTGTAACCCCTGCTTCTGCTATATCAAACTGTGATGTCAAATTTTGATTTGTCATAGCGAGAAACATAATTAGTGTTTTAATCCTAAAACCTTGATATGTCTGTAAACTAAGAGCGACAGAGGGATAAATATTAGATTGGAAGATCTGCTTTGACAGTGGCTGCCTCCTAACTTGTTTGCTGATTTTTCTACTCAGAAATATAACCCTATAAATGTGTCTGAAATCCTTACTAATGCCAAAATGTTGTGTGAGCAGGTGTATGCTCAACACTATAGACGGGCCCTCTGAGCAGGTGGAAGACTACCTGTGTGACCCAGAAGAAATGCCTTTAGGGGCCCGAAACAGCCAACTGCCCTGCCCCGAGGACTGTGTGCTATCAGACTGGGGAGCCTGGAGCCCATGTTCCCTGGTAAGAAGAAAGACCTGTGACTTAACTCTAACTTTATACATTAGTTCTCCTTTACTCTAGAAGAAGTTGGGAATAGTTAAAATCCCACTGTATGTTTTTCAGTTTTACATTTAATTATGTGGTAGTTAAAGACGAGTTTTAACTTAAAAGTTGAGAAACAAAGTCAACCCAGAATTGATGGTTCTTTATTTTTAACCATTGTGGTGAAACTTTAAAACTTTTTTTAATTTATCACTATTCATATAATTAAAGAAATCAAATGATGCTAAATATTGTTACTTACATTCTTTTAATTCTAATACATTTAATACTAAACATTGTAACATATAGTAAACTAAATATCAGTATGACATTTTTTTTGTACTATACTACATATTTGCTTTGCATAATTAGTGGAACAGAAAGATAGCAGTAGTGTCCAACAAAAGCTGTAGTTACAGTGGGTAAAATAAGTATTGAACACGTTACCATTTTTCTCAGTAAATATATTACTAGAGGTGCTAATGACATGAAATTTTCACCAGATGTCGGTAACAACCCAAGTGATCCATACATACAAAGAAATCAAACCATAAATGTCCAGAAATGAAGTTATTTGTAATAATGTGGAATGACACAGGGAAAAAGTATTGAACACACTTACTGAAATTTATCTAATACTTTGTACAAAAGCCTTTGTTGTCAATGACAGCTTCAAGACGCCTCCTGTATGGAGAAACTAGTGGCATGCATTGCTCAGGTGTGATTTTGGCCCATTCTTCCACACAAACAGTCTTCAAATCTTGAAGGTTTCGTGGACCTCTTCTATGAACTCTGATCTTTAGTTCTTTCCATAGATTTTCTGTTGGATTCAGGTCAGGTGATTGGCTGGGCCATTCCAGCAGCTTTAGTTTCTTTCTCTGAAACCAACTGAGAGTTTCCTTGGCTTTGTGTTTGGGCTCATTGTCTTGCTGAAATGTCCAGCCACGTTTTATCTTCATCATCCTGGTAGATGGAAGCAGATTTTTATCAAGAATGTCTCTGTACATTTTTCCACTCATCCTTCCTTCAATTATTTGAAGTTTGCCAGTACCATATGCTGAAAAACAGCCCCACACCATGATGTTCCCACCTCCAAACTTCACTGTTGGTATGGTGTTTTTGGGCTGATGTGCAGTGCCATTTGACCTCCAAACATGATGTGTATTCTGGTATCCAAACAGTTCAACGTTGGTCTCATCTGACCAGACTATATTCTCCCAGTATTACACAGGCTTGTTTAAATGTTGTGCAGCAAACTTTAAAGGAGCTTCAACATGCTGTTTCTTCAGCAGTGGAGTCTTGCGTGGTGAGCGTGCATACAGGCCATGGTGGTTCAGTGCATTACTTATTGTTTTCTTTGAAACAATCGTACCTGCTAATTCCAGGTCTTTCTGAAGCTCTCCACAAGTGGTCCTTGGCTCTTGGACAACTCTTCTGATAATTCTTTTCACTCCTCTGTCAGAAATCTTGTGAGGAGCACCTGGTCGTGGTCGGTTTATGGTGAAATAATGTTCTTTCCACTTCTGAATTATGGCCCCAACAGTGCTCACTGGAACCTTCAGAAGTTTAGACATTCTTCTGTAACCGATGCCATCATTATGCTTTGCAACAATAAGGTTGTGAAGGTCTTGAGAGAGCTCTTTACTTTTACCCATCATCAGATGGTTCTTGTGTGATACCTGGCCATCAATTGGGTCTGAACCAGCTGATATTAACTTGCACTGACAAGAGCCAGGCTTGTTTTCTAATTACTGAGAGAGTTCAGCTGGTGTCTTGGCTTTCCATGYCTTTTTACACCTCCCTTTCTTCATGTGTTCAATACTTTTTCCCTGTGCCATTCCACATTATTACAAATAACTTCATTTCTGGACATTTATGGTTTGATTTCTTTGTATGTATGGATCACTTGGGTTGTTACCGACATCTTGTGAAAATTTCATGTCATTAGCACCTCTAGTAATATATTTACTGAGAAAAATGGTGACGTGTTTCAATACTTATTTTACCCACTGTATGTTAATTAAAGGAGCAGAGAAGTGGCGTGATCAAATGGCAACATTTGGTGACGCAAGCATTCTGACTCTCAAGCTCTCCTTTTTTCTCACTCTTCTTGTCTATATCATGTGGTCATAGTTATTTTTTTGGCTCTGATTGTACAACTTCAAATTTGATGAACACATGCTGACGTGTAGCAACCTCATTTATTTAAATAAACACAACGTGCTGCGTGGGATGTCATGTTTTCTGTGAGATACGCCAAAAAAGAACCTCAAGCTCCCAGATTTCTGGTAGAGACCTAAGCTTGAACTGAAGGAGAACGCCTCCTACAGCAGAGGAGTCAAACTCACTTTAGCAGAAGGAAACATTAGCGTTATGGTGGCCCTCACAGGGCCAGTTGTAATCAACTTTGATGATTCCTGTTTAACTTTCACTAAACACGAAACATCACATTCCGTGTCTAACTGCTATGGCTGAGCACCGCTAACAAACAATAACTGAGCTCTACATGGTCTTTCCTGCGCAGAATCAGTGTTTCAACATGTCCTCTTATAAATACTGAAAATTACTATGTGTACGACTGACTAAATGATGATGATGATGATGATAATAATAATAACAATAATAATAATAATAATAATGCGAAATAATAATAAATAGCACTGACATTTTAATGAAACCAAAAGAAAAATATGTATTTTTTATGATTTTACTTAATGTTGGGTTTTAGTAAGTAGCTGCCATCAGTTAAAACTTATGACCTGTAGGTGGGAATTTTCCTCATCCCAGTAAAACTGGGCCACAGTAAAAGTAGCAGGCGAAAAGGGAGCGACATAAAGATTTCACACAGCGAGTTTCACTGGCCATCATCTACTTTTGCAACTTGTGCATCTTCCATAGGGGTGCACAAATAAATCAGCTAGCTGATTTTTCGGCACGAATTTCCTTGATTTTAGGAGATTGGAGATCTGGCGATACTTATGACTGTTTGAAAGATTGTTTGAAAGAGCTTGTTTGAAAAGAGCTTCTCATCTACCTCCACAAAGATTAGATTATTTGAAAAGAGCTTACAAAAGATAAGATTGTTTGAAAAAAAGATAAAAACGGAAAAAAGATAAGATAGTTTGAAAAGAGCTTCTCATCTACCTCCACAAAGGTCTGAAAATCAGCCACTGTCCCATTTTGCTCTGCTGTGATACTACCTAATGTCCAGTTAAAACACGTTTGTATTGCGTCGAGGGTGTTGTTCAGTGTTTTTCAGTAAAATAAAATTGGAACATTGAAGGTGTGTTGTGACCTTGTAACACCTGACAATGTCAGTTATTAAAAAAATATCTGCCAGAATCGGTATTTGCAGGTCAGACTTTTTAAAGATCAGTGATTGGCAAGAAAACGATCTGGGCATCACTCCGGTGACATGAGATAATGAGATAATTATGTCCAACAGTCAGAACACTTTTCTTTGTTTCTCAGCCGTGTAGTGAGAACAGGACACACGAGAGGGTTGCCTATCCAATTCGAAAACCAGGGAAAGAGAAGACCTGTCCTCCAACAACAGAGGCAGAGCCATGCAAGCTGAACAGGAACTGCTTTCACTACTCCTACAACATCACAGGTTGGTTGCAAACAGCTTGGTTATGTATAGTACAATGACAAGAACATGGTTGGAGTTGCACTGATCTGTTGGTACTCAAACATGTCCATGCAGACTGGAGCACCTGTCAGCTCAGTGACAGAGCAGTGTGTGGTAATGGCTTGAAGACCCGCATGCTTGACTGTGTGCGTAGTGATGGGAAATCTGTTGATCTCAGCTTTTGCAAAGAGGTAAGATGTTTGTTGCCTTCTGTAACGATCATAACAAAGGTTCCTTTAACACAGACTAATGTGAAGTGGAAGTGACATTATAAACAGTGTCTGTATGGTTTAGTTTGGTGGACAGAATATGCTCACTGAACTTGGATGCTGATGGGACTCATTTTTTGCTCTCAAAGTAACTTTACATTTGTATTAGGGCTGCCACGAATAGTCGACAAGTCACAATTAGGTCGACTATTAAAATCGTCAACGACTAATTTAATAGTCGATGGTTCATTTTTTATTTTCTAACTCTGTTTTTCTCTCCAAACTGCTGCGGCACCGTCCACTGCCGCATCTGCCTTTCTGTCTTTGACACACAAGCACAGTAGTGGTAACTAGTGATGCCACAAACAATTATTTTTACAGTAGACTAATCAGTGATTAGTCGACTATTAAAAAAAACAAAAACAAAGTTAGAAAAAAACAACAATGGACTATGAAATTAGTCGTTGATGATTTTAATAGTCGACATAATCATGACTAGTCATCTAATCATGGCAGCCCTAATTTGTATGGCCTGTTTTATTGACACATAGAAGAGCAACAACTGTCCAACTGGACTTGTAAGGTTAATGAAAAGTCAGTAATAAGCACTTTAGACCAGGACCACTGTGTCTGTGAGTTACTATTTGGCATTTTACCAGCTCAATACAACATGAAGGGTCATAACTGGCACACAAACAGGGATCAGTTGTAAAAGTTCCAGATGTACATAATAAAGATACTTGTAGTGTTAGTTTCAGTTGAGCTGGAGCAAAACATGAGTCCAGTTAGCATACTCTGTCCAGGTTGCGTTAACAGGGCATCTCACAAATAAAACTGTTTTCAAATCATTTTAGATGAATTAACAAAACCCAATAATGTCCCTCTGCAGCTGGGTCTTGAGAGGAAGTGGCAGATGAATGCTTCCTGTGTTGTGGAATGTCCTGTCAACTGTCAGCTGTCTGAGTGGTCGACGTGGTCTGGGTGCACCCACACCTGTGGCCTGGCAGGTATGTTTCTACAATAACTCTCCAGACCAGAGTTTAAACATTCCATGTCCAGTTACATAATGTTTATTTACATAGGAAATCATCCTTCGTGTGATCCAGTGTGGTGAAATGTGTCAAGGTTGTAGGAAGTAGGACCCAAGGGTGCAGACTAGCGTGAGGAGCTCAAAGAACAAACATTTTATTTAACAAAACAAAAAAAGTGAAGCAGAGTGTGAAGCGGCCAGTATGAGGATCAGTCCCTCTAAATCCAAGACCATGGTCTTGAGCCGGAAAATGGTAGGGTGCCTTCTCCAGGTCGGGGAGGAGGTCCTGCCCCAAGTGGAGGAGTTTTAGTATCTCGGGGTCTTGTTCACAAATGAGGGAAGAATGGAGCAGGAGATTGGCAGGCGGATTGGTGCTACGTTTGCAGTGATGCGGGCGCTGTACCGGTCTGTTGTGGTGAAGCAAGTCTCGATTTATGGGTCGGGTCTACGTTCCTACCCTCATCTATGGTCACAAGATTGAGTAGTGACCGAAGAAAATCGCAGATACAAGCGGCCAAAATGAGTTTCCTCCGCAGGATTTCTGGGCTCTCCCTTGGAGATAGGGTGAGAAGCTTGGTAAACTGGGAGGTACTCAGAGTAGAGCCGCTGCTCCTCCACGTTGAGAGGAGCCAGTTGAGGTGGTTCATCTGGTTAGGATGCCTCCTGGACGTTCCAGACGAGCTGGCCCAAGTGGCTGGGGAGAGGGAAGTCTCTCTGCTAAGGCTGCTGCCCTTGCGGCCCGACACTGAATAAGTGAAATAAAACGGACAGACGGACGGAAAACAAAAATATCTGGGACGGCAGCAAACCATATTATTTGCTAGGGGTACTAATAGAGGAGAACTCGACATGGAATGAATAATGCAAGAAGCTCAACTGATAAGTGGGATGAGACTGAAGGACTTTGAGAACAGTGATGAGAAGATTGGAGATGATTGCACTTAATGGAACAGAGAACAGGAGTGACAGGACTGAGGAGTGAAGGCTGACAATGGAAAATTACCAACTGACAAGAAGAGACTGATAAAGTCAAGAAACACAAGAGGCCATAGAACAAAATGACACCAGAAAATACAAAAACTAAACATCATAAAAGATAAATAAAAAACTCAACACTGAGAAAACTCAGATCATAGCAAAATGACCTGCAATGACAGCAATATAAGCTGGTTGCAATGGCTACTTAAATAAATTGGTAGTTAACCTTTGTGGCTAACCTTTTGTATAAGCAGAAACCAGAAAGTCTTTGTGATGTGAAAATTGTGTTACAACCCTAAACCAACTGAGAGAGGGATGATTATAGCCTTGAATGTGATATCATCAGATCTGGTCATTGATTGGTGGTCCATTATGAGAGTGCACATGGGGGCTCAGGGAGCACTCAGAACTGCACAACCCCATCAGCAATCAGAAGCAACAAGAGCAAATAAGAGATAGAAAACCAACACAGGCTTTATTTGGCAATCTTAATCTGTCCCCAGGCGAGAATGTGTGTGTGTGTGTGTGTGTGTGTGTTTTATTTTTGACTTCAACAAAGACTAAGGGAATGCCTAAGGCAGAGCGGGCTCCCCCACACTCCTTTCTATTTATTTTTATCCGTAAGCTTTTTGTGAAGACATAAATCCCTGGACGAATTAATGTCTATTTCAGAACCGTAAAGCTTAATTTGCTATTTTAAAAGAATAAAAAAGGCAGAACAAACAAAGCCTATATTTATGCACAGAAAATACATACAATACATACATAACCACAAGCATTGTACTTTTATACTCTACACTTCTGTCTGTCTATCTACACATCCAGCTACCCATCCATCCATGTGTTTGGATGAACCACTTTGAACGTTGTTATTACGATATCAGAACATCAGAATTCTCTTTGCAAAATGTAGACCAAAGTTTCTTAAAATTAAGGTTACTCATGAGCTATTCTTTTAGGAATTTAGGATTTACTTTAATTTTATTGGAAAGAAAAGTACTTGTTCCTTTTCACATTTGCAGTCTTCAAGATGTGTTGTTAGCCTGATGGTTTTATATTCTTACAGTAAAATTCACATTTCATATTACATTCAATAATCGTTTATTTTTATACAGTATATTTTTCTTTTCACTTGCTCCTCTCCAGGTAAACTGTGGAGGACACGAACAGTGATCCAGGCTCCGCAAGGCGACGGGAGGCCCTGCCCATCCCAGATGAAACAATGGAAGCCCTGCCTGGTGAAGCCGTGTTACAGTTGGAGATATAGCGCCTGGTCTGAGTGCAAGTCAGAGGTTTGCCACTTTTCATCCTTTTGTTGCAATGTCTGCTTATCTGCTGCATTTACTTAAACATGGTCAAAAACATTTAAATAAAAAACAAACTGTAATCTTGTGACTCAACACTAAGTTGAGAAGCACATTTTGTGCAAGGTAACATCTCAACAGCAACTACATGACAGAACGTGGTTCTCCTGGTTATAGAAAAAGTGTGTTTTAGCTTGTTTTTCTGCCATATAACTAACTACATTTATATTATTTAAATTATATATTTATAATTTAAATATTTGAAAACACTTGCAGGAAACGAGCTACTTGAATTAAACATAAAAGAAATGTCAGCATCTGAAAAAAACATCTAAGGCATGTTTTTATTTGTAATCTCAGTCTTTCATAAGGACTCACAGGGATAGTCCAGTCGGGGGGGGGGGTTGTGTAATTTAACATGGCGCCCAGATCGCCCAGCAATTTTACAGCATATCAACCTGAAATTTGGTGGGCTGGTATCTGAGAACAAACTTAACATGTTCTGAATGCTAATAACAAATTTAAGCTAACTGCTAATTTTTGAAAAGGCTATGTTTCAACCTATTCTAAAATTTACAAAACTGAAAACGGGCATAATACTAGCCAAGAATAAGCTTTGACAAATTCTTAAAGCAAAACAAAAATTAAAACTGCTAATTTTAAACTGCAATAACTCAACCATTTTAAGACATGGGCTGAAAATGGATGTGATGGTAGCCGAGAACAATCCCCATCACTTACTGAATTCAAATCAAAAATCCAAGATGGCCACCATAGCTAAAAGAATGAAATCACTATAACTCTGTCATTTTTAGACATTTTAAGCTGAGATTTGGTGTGGTAGTAACTGAGCATGATTCCCATCACACAACGAATAAAAAAAATACAAGATGGCCACTATAGCTGAAATAATATATTGATTATAGTTTAGCCATCTTTAGACATATTGGGCTGAAATTTGGTGTGGTGAAAGCTGACAATGAACTCCAAAATTTAAAATACACACCACATGGCAGGCCCCTTTATAACACTATTTAGACACTAGGAACTATTCTAGTTACTAGTTAGTACCTTATGAGTTGTAATATAAGTCACAGAGTACCATAGAGAAAGAGGAAAAAGTCTTTGTCCAGGTTAGACTAATGGGTGACAATGTTTTTTTCATCATATTTCAGGTTTATGAAACAACTCATTTGTCAAAATGATAAAGATTGCTATATTAGCTAATATTAAACTACAGTTTTGCAAGGCATTATTTATTCATGTTGTTGTTTTATTAGCTGAACAAAGTCCATGTTATTACACTAATGTGTATGTCGGGAGCATAGATGGACCATGTTCATACTAATGGTGCCGGGGCTGATGACGGTACCTGTTAGACAAAAGTTTATTCAGCTTCCGTTGGAATGAACCTATGTTGTTTCTGAGAAAAAGCTGTTTTATAAACCTGAAAAATAATAAATATCTGGCAATTATTTGGCTAGCCTTTAGTGTAGTCTGGACTAAGACTTTTGCATCTTTGTCTACACTCTGATGTCACGGCTGATAAGGTACCACCTGTTGAGAACCATCTGACATATTACTTCAAAGCTGACTGGGCCATCCCTCTCAAACCTTTACTACAGCCAGCATGGAGGTGCTTGTCCCTTTGGCTTCTAGTTATTATTTTTCATAGATAGTGTCAATGTAATAAGTAGATACTGTACATAGCCTCTTTTACTATCAGATGCAACAAATACCATTTAGATCTAAATCAACCTGGACACTTAATCACTGATAAAGTAATCCAATTACCCTTTAGCATGCTTTTGCGCTAATTAATCACATTCCATACCTGCCCTCATGAAAGGTGGATTATGTGATTGCATCTGTTAGCTTGTGTGTGTGTGTGTGTGTGTGTGTGTGTGTGTGTGTGTGTGTGTGTGTGNGTGTGTGTGTGTGTGTGTGTGTGTGTGTGTGTGTGTGTGTGTGTGTGTGTGTGTGGTTGTCTCTCTGTTAGAAAAAGAACTCACAACACTGGATGGATATTAATGAAGTTCTCAGAAGCTAATTATTGAATACACATCTAGCACTGATTACCTTTTGGAGTCAACACAATTCAAGGTAGTTGCCACAGCTGATTAGGAAAAAAAATGCAGCAATTTGGTCAATTTTACACATATTGAGCAAAGATATGATGCAGTAACAGCAGGGAGTCATTCCCAACAGATCAAGAGCTTTGTTTAAAACTCTACAGCTAATTAATAAATCACAAAATTGCCCAAAGGCAGCACATTTTCAGAATCCGTTTTATTGCCATTGTCAATGAACAGGATTCACAGACTATGAATTTTCTTCCATGTAAAGGTGCAATAAGTATAAAATATAACAAATAAAGAAAATACAAAAGATAAAGGAAAAAAATAGAATAAAATATATGAAACATGCGTACACCAGTTCAATACAGTAAATGAGATATTACATATATTGAGCTGAAATTGGTTGTGGCAGAAGTTGAAAGTTATTCTCAACATACAAACTTTGAAGACTAATAACTCACGTGGCATCTTTTTGAAACTTTGGTAAGTTGTCAGGCAGAATGCAGTTCTTCAACAAATGCTAGTTTCAATAAGAAAATAATAAAAACATCAAAGACACTAAAATATGCTGGAATTCTCATACTGTGTAGTGCACCAGTAAATGTTCATGAACAATTTACTACATGAGATAAAGCACAGTTTCACATTTTTATATATATTTTTCTTCCATCAGGGTGCAAAATGTGGAGAAGGCATGCGATTCAGAAATGTGTCCTGCTTCGTGTCGGACGGGTCGGGTCAGCAGGACAGCAGTGTGGTTGACGATGAGCTGTGTGGAGATCTGGAGCTTTCAGTGGATGGAGACAGAGAAATAGTTCTGCAGGAAACCTGTACTGTTCCCTGCCCAGGTGGGTCTATCAAACACTGCAACTAGCAACTAGCACTAGCAGGCCTTCATGTAGTGATAATGAAGACTTACTTATTTCATCAGAGTAATCAAAATGACTAGTTGGTGCCAGGTTGTTTCCATTAATTAATCACAATCTGAGAAATTGAGAAAAAATGTTTCAGAACTTCCAGACTACCTTACCAGCCTGATTAGGAAGCAGCGTCACTTTGCACACACAGCAACATGGGAAACATGTTCTGGAACTCCTCTGGCATCACTTTCATGTCTCCAACTGAGGAAAGAAACTTTTAATGGTCCTGACAGAGCTGAGCTAACAGGCTGTGACTATAATTGTCAGAACGGCTCACGCAGCTGCTCTGTCACTGTGAGCATAATACACACGTGCACTGCTTGTAGTCTCTCAGTAGTGCAGGTACTACTGTGTATTGTGAAATGAACACATCCATATTTTTTGTAATTTTAGATTTTTTTTTGTATCACGAGATGGGGCTAATACCCAGCTTTAACCACTTTGATTGTTTCAGTCTTATTGTAAATGAGGAGATACAGTCCTATATAATTCAGCAGCATGAGAGGATGCAGATGAAGGAATTTTTGTGCAGAACTTTGACCACAACTTAGAACAAAAACTTTGTGTGTAAAGGCAAATGAAGGATGGCTGATTATGTGGCAGTACTATTAAAGCATGAACTGGTCATTGCAGCAGGGTCACAAGATTACTACAATTAGTTACTTGTAACAGTACTATGAGAGTATAAACTGGTTGAAGTTTAGATTGAAAAGGCTGCTATGGTCAGTCCTACTTTAAGCTTTTGATGACCAAACCACAATGATGCTTGTTGGCCATGTGTCATAAAAACAATGCCACCACACTCCACTCAGGACCCCAATACACTGCCACTACACAGATAGACCATTGCATCCTCCAAACCATTGTCAGCCTATGGCCAAAGATCTCATGACCAGTGGTGGGCACCAGCCCACTAAAGCACAAATCCACTAATTGTGGACCTAAATATTTCATTTTCGCTTTAGCGGTCTTACTAATTTTTATAAATCATAAGCAGATTTGTGCTTTCTAAAATTAAAATGCAGTACCGCTAATAACTAATTCTACCAGTCATCATTTTCTTGAACAGTGGAAGGTATGACTGTCAATGAATCACAACACACGTGATCTATCCAACAGCACCCCTCCCAGATAAACATAATTATTGGGAAGGTATACATCCTTGCGGACTGTTGCTTTCGGCCGTGGTTCTGATTTCCCACAATGCTTTGTGTTTTCTTATGTAGCAGGAAGGCAACAGCAGAAACAGTAATGTTTGTAATCCATACTAAAATTTTGTATGTATTGATTTATTTTACTTTACAATCGGAGCTCCTTTAAAAAAAGTTTAAACACTGGAGCTCAAAAGCAATCGGCCAACGATGTTAGAGATTCAGAAATGATTTAAAGATTTTATGCTGGTGAAGACTGACATCTAGTGGTCAACTGGTGCAACTACATGGAAAACGTCCTAATCCAGGTAGAAAAAAATCAAAAAGAAAAAATCAGTAGGTCCTCTGGATGGGTTCTTCTTTAGTGAAACATTTCATCTCTCTTCCAAGAGACTTCTTCAGTCTGAGTTTTAGGTGAACTGTAAAACTTTAAAATCCAATGGAAACATGAAAAACTTCAAAATCCAAACTCTTATTTTGAAGAGAAGAAACTAGTTTCCTGTTCCCCGTGCTTTCATTTCCCATCAGTCTGTCATGTACCCAGAATGCATCGCTTCAGTTTTCCAATAAACAGTTTTAAAATTACTTTATTCATGCTTCTTTAATGGAAAAATCTACAACAAACATGAAAAAAGACAAAGAAGCAGCCGAACTAGCAATCCTCAACAACTTTTTAAAGAAGCAGCCGAACTAGCAATCCTCAACAACTTTTTAAAGAAGCAGCCGAACTAGCAATCCTCAACAACATTTTAATTTTTCCACCAGGAGCCAAAGGTCTGTTTCAGGAAATCGCATCCCCAGCAATCGGTGGTTGTAGAATTAAGTTGTAAAAGGGTTCATACACCGCTAGTTGGCAACGTTGTGCATATATTGTACATGAATTGTCAGCTAGTAAGTGTCAAATTGAACTTGCGCTTTAAAATGAGCTTCTGCAGTTTTGAAGTTGCAGACTTAAATATTTTTTATAAGTGCTTTAGAAATTGCGTAGCTAAATTTTGGATTAGTGCTGCCACCACTGCTCATGACAAAAATTTATGTTCTGGCAAATTTAGGAATTAGGATGAATATGGCAACCATTGTATTCATAATTATTCATTACATCTTAACTGTCAGTGTCAGCTGTGTTCTTTTGTTGGATTATTTTATTGTTGTTTTGTGTCCTCTGCACTGTGAATTCAATTCAAAGTAGAAGACAGGGAGACTGAATCTTAAAACATAACCAAAAAAACATTGGGAAGCTGATTTATCAAAGGTTTGCGTGTATAAAAAGACGTGCAGACTTGACAGAGCACGCAAAGCTGATTTATGAACATTTTGTACTGAAGATTGCATGTGTTAATTGCGCATAATAGCAGACGCAATCCATTTAGCGTGTTTGCCTTCATGAATATGCAGAATATATGATGATTTTCAGAACGTGCAAAATGCCAAGAGGAGGATATCCAGATATAATCATTTTCACCCGCAGTTTGATTTATCGATCCTAAAACTGATTGCGGTTGATGTTTTTGCATCTAAACTTAGCACGTTTGAAGGACAGGTACAAACTGGCTATGCAATGTGAAAGGTAATAAAATGAAAACTTCTCCACTTTAATATAAATTAAGCATCTAACTGCAGATTAACAGCTCCAAAAAGGTAAAAATAAACAAGGAATGTTTGTGAAACAAGTCCACTTGAGTGTGCTGCTATCCTCAAGTACATGCACCAAGCAACACTGATGCAATCTAAAGAAGAGGACAAATCCAGGGGCTTTTGTGGAGATGGTAATGGTTGATGAAAGTTTGCATGTGAAACCAAAGTCTTGTAAATGAGTTTATTGGCTTAGCAAGGACCTTAAGATAAAAGAAGTTTCAGTCAGATCTGGTTCAGGCTCACTAGAATCAAAACCAGTAGCAAACTGGCACCAATTTAGTAGTAGCTTATTTAAGCATTACGAAGTGATATCAAAAGTCTAAAACATGTTTCCCAGAAAGAGTGGAATTTAAATCCAGCTGCAAAAAGTCCAATGCTGTGAAGTTTTAGTTACTGAACTCTCCTTATGTCTTACAGGAGAATGCTACTTGACAGACTGGACCATTTGGAGTCCGTGCCAGTTAAGCTGTGTGAGCGGGAATGACCTGGGTTTTGGCTCAGTACAGGTCCGTTCCAGAGCCGTGGTGGCCCAGGATCCAGAAAACCTGCTCGAGTGTCCAGAACAAGAGCTGGAGGCAAAGCCCTGCACAGGTCTGTTTAAAGGAGTGTTGCAACTGCAATGAAGAAATTAAAGTCAAACATTTATTGCATCTAACTATTTAAAGAAATTGTTTAGTCATTTTAAAGTGAGTTTCTGTAATATAAAAGTTACGAATAATTAATAATGTATTTGTTGGAAATAGCTTATTACGTGAACTCAGTATAAGAAGATTAATTTTGACATGCTAATGAGCTAATGACTACTCTAAACACACCAAAGATCAACTTTAAACTAAAGGTTTAAATTATAGTGTTTGTACATAGAGCTGTGGAGTTTTGAAGATTGGAGCTGCTTTAAACCATCCTCTTTGGAAAAACGTTTATTCAGACCATCCTGAACAAATAAAAATGGCTAGTCTGATTACATTAACTGCCAGTTCCCAATCAATCTCATTGAACTGGAACACACACACACACTGTGGGGACCTTGCATTGACTTCCATTCATTTTCCAGGCATTTGTATAGCCCAACCCTGATCTTTTACCCTAAAACAAAGCACCCCAGTAATACCTGAGCCAAAATTCAATTGTCATCTTAGTCCTGTACCTAACCCCCCCACACACACACACAAAATCAGCAGGAAATCATGCTGATTTTCGGGTGGGGGAGCATCAGGTCCCGATGATGTAGGAAAAAGTGTATAGATAGATAGATAGATAGATAGATAGATAGATAGATAGATAGATAGATAGATAGATAGATAGATAGATAGATAGATAGATAGATAGAT